GACAAGTCTCCCATGGTGTCCCCCAGAGAGCAGGAGCAGGAAACGTGCCACTGGAGTTTCCTCACAGCTCAGTTTGCAGTCCAGGTGAAGTACTAATCCAGGCTGGCTCTTGAGGAGTGAATGCAGATCTAACAGTGTGGCAGAATGGTCCAGAAAACCTTCATTGGATCTGTTTTAGAGGCTATTGAGAAAACGTACCAACTAGCCATACCCTGCCACCCCTGCATTTTGCAACACTCCAACATATTTTTCCCCTTACCTAATAATTCCTGAGTGAATGATTATTTAAAGTATTACACTACATCAAAATACATTACTAGTTTAGCTTCAAGAAAGGAATTGTACCATTGAAGAGATGCTGCAGAACTATGCATCAAGAGAATCTAAATCTCTGAAAAACCAAAGGGGCTCAGGCACAGAAACCAAACAGAAGACTAACATTTGTCTTTTGTCAGCACTGTGTTTCTGAGCTGATGATCCTGCTTTGTACATCACACTTCCATAGCAGCTAGAGCCATGGGATCAATAATTAAATACCTTTAGATGGTACTTACTACAAAAGGAGAGTAGGGAACAAATATTTCTAGAAGCAGAAAAGGAACAGCCTTCTTCCCTGCTCTTACTGAGCAGCCTCAATGTTCACATACTTACTTAATAATTTAAGATATTCGAGCAGATAATGAATGGAAATGAAATCTCCTTATTTCTAAGTTTTCAAACACAGCATTCTGCTAGATTAACCAAGCAGAGGGGCAACGAGTGTAAATCAGCAAGAACCAAGAGACTGAAGCTGTTCAAGGAGCTTCAGTCTTCCTCCAACAATCTTTAAGGGCAATCTTTTTAAGCACATGCACATTAATGTAACTGCAGTGCCCATAGCCCCAGGCTCAATGAGAGACTCTAACCACCAATCCTCAACACCACAGTCAAATAACTCCCTCAGCATCAGAACACTGAGCTCCTGTCCACGGAGCCTCGCTGGGGGAATCGCCAGCGCACAGCACCGAGCACAGCACCTCAGAAGTTACAGTTTAGCCCAAAGCCATTTTGGAATATTTATTATTTGGGAAATCAGCAGCAGCACAGAGGAAAGATTTAGAATTATTTGCTGATGCACATGCAGAAGATGTAATCTGTCTACTTTTAAAGTATTCATAAATTTCATTAACTAAAACCCAGCTGGATCTGATTTACAGTGGGCTGGGTAGAACCAAAGCAGAACCAGTTAATGCCTGGGATCCACAATCAGATGGGTCAGTCAGAACACAAAAGGTGAAGTGACAGTGTTCTTTATAAGACATAATTAGGATACTTTCTTCTATAATTCTTTCAATTTTAGAGAAAAAACAGGGCAAAGCCTTAATTTTTTTAAAGTGATCATAGTGCCTCTTCTCAGCTCTGCAGAACTCAGTGAGGCTGCTGAGCAGGCTGCTTGTTCCCTTATGCAAGACCACACCACAGTGTAGTGAGGAAAGGGCCACAGCCAACAGACAGAAAAATAAATCCATTTAATTAATTGACTTCTATTAATTAATATAAAAATATTGGAAAATATATAAAATATGTTGGAAACTGGAATAATTCTGCTTATTGAAATAGTTCAAAGCCTTCCAATGTTCCATTTCAAATCACAGCAGTTGTTCACAGTATCCAGAACAGGAAGAAACCCTCAACTGGAGCCAAGGAGACAAAAACTGCTTTGCTGTGCCTGACCTATGGGACTAGGGAGCATTCCCACCTCCTAGGGGAAGACCTTTGTGCATTGTTATGCCTTGGTGGCTATGAGATGGAAGAAGAGCTTTGAGATTTGCTGGTCTTGAAGACTAGGGGACAGATAGTGCTGCACAGGCAAGACATAGCCCTCAAGATTTGAGCTCTGTACATGTCTAAAATGTATTAGAGGCCCACCCCTTTTTTTCTTTCAAGAATAGCTACTGATGTTCTAGGGTGTTGAAATAGTGTATCTTCTACAACTGTTTACAACAGAGCTCTTCCAACTCTGAACTCTAACCCCAGGTTTGCCACATTCAGCAGGTGGCTGGTTTGACTAACATTCCTATTGACAAACACATTTGTGTCATACCCACCAGCTATATGATTAAGGAAATGTCATTCTGCTGAAAACTTTTAGAGCAGTTTACTTAGGCAAGGTAACCTTTATTTTATTTCAAGAAGAGCTTGAAAGTTTTCACATCAGATACAGAATCAAAGACAAGGAGGAGGGATGTGTACAGTTTCAAGCGTGTGGCATTCCCCACAGGAAGCATTAGTCAGCTTGGCACCTTCCTCTGCAGATGCCAATGCTGTTACCTGCTGCTCACTGAACATGATCAAACTTCTTTACCCTCTGTAATTAGCTGCCATGAAGCCATGGTGTGGTTGGGTTGCTTGGTTGGGGTTTTTTCTCCCTTTAAAGCAACCATCTGCCTCCAACCTTAGACAAGTTTTTCCTGAGCATCACTTTTTAATCACTGTGTAGAAGACCTGCTCCAAGAGCTCCCAGGCCAGGACTGTCATAGACCAGTGATGACACAGAAGAGACCAGCCTTGCCCACAAATGCTTGGACATCAAAGTTGTCCAAACATCTTCAGAAGAAGCATCTACAGCTGCCAAGATGACAAGTGCCACAAAGAGCAGAGGGCAGGGTGAAATTGTGTGGTGGCAAGGCCTAGAAATCCTAAAAAACTAGGGTGATGAACCTGAGCTACTGCAAGTTTTAATATGCTCTTTATTCTATATGTTTATTCTGTAAAAGCATGTGTGAAATTAAGTTTCAGGAATGCAATGGATCATAGTTACAGCCATTTGCTTGCAGAACCAAACTTCAGAAGTACAACAGTGATGTCTGAAAGACATTTTAGCCCAATTAACTCATGGGTTAGGCACAGACTAACCTGTGTGGAAGAGATGCAGAGTTCCATGGGAGCAGAACTGGGAACCAGCAGGAACAGAGTGGTGTCTGCTCTTTCATGTTATAGTCAATAGCTCCTCTTCATTATTTATGTTTCTTTCTTTTGGAGAAGTCTGTAATGCCATTGTTAAATGTTTCTTATTTCAGAGCTCTGGGGAGGAAGCTCCAACTAATTTTTGAGACACTTTTCACTATGAAAACAGATGCCAAGTCAACATAGTGATACTGGAGTATTACAGCTTTAAACTTCATTAAAGACAAATAGATTCACTTACAGATTTTAAAGACCTGAGAACACATTTCCTCCACTGAACTTCTGGCATGTTGTCTTTGTGGCCTGTCTCAGAAGCTTTGTCTTAGTAAGGTTTATGAAATAGGTGAAGAGGCAGTGAAGCTGTTCTGTGTTGGCTGGAAACATGTCTTGCCTGAGAAGTCCTTGGGATGACTGATGCTTTGTTATTCTCTTCCTAAGCTAGCTGGTGCTCCTGTCTGTGCTGCAGGGTATAAACTGAAAAGGCTGGAAGTGAGATCCCCCAGACTTTGTCCAAAAAGGAACTTGGAAGATCAGCAAAAGAAACATTTCTAAAGGAAAACACTAAGAAATACACAAGTCCTTTTAGAGTTAACAGAAGTTAGTCCAGTGCATAGCTCTGAGCTGCTCTACCAATGAACTTTGCTGCAAACTCTGGCTAGAGACAGATCATTATTTTACCTGCTTGCTGAACAGAAGAGCAACTGGTGATTTGTATTACAAGGAGCATTATTTGAGGCACTAACAGAAAAATATTCTTCAGCAGCAGTTTACATCAGCTATTAAAGCTTGTCTCTCAGCACATTTAAATCCTATTCCTGGATTACAAGAGTATATAACCTTCATGACAGGACTACAGGAGGCATTACAAATCTGGAAAAGCAAAAAGAACACAGGTCAAAGCAAGAGATGCAGTGAGGGACGTGTGTAGATAGAACAGGAAAGGTGGCTTTAGAAAATTTAGAAAAACACAGAATTAAGTTCTAGAGCAGAATTTAGACAGAACACAGACAAACAGGGAAGAATCAAACAGAACCATGGCCAGAGAATTTGACCCAATGAAAAAATCCAGCCAGTTTAGTTTTATAGGGAGAAGAAATGACTAGTGATGCAGCCTTCTACTCTGACCTTCACACGTGGGAGAAAGCTGTGAGGGAGTAAATCCTGAGTCTAAGAATTCCTCTGTGCTTAAGGTAGGTATTATCTTGGGTCTGGATCCTGCCAATTCTGTTCTCTTGAATAAAATGAAGGCTTTGATTGGTTTCAATAACACAGTGCATAAAAGGTCAAACAAACATTTAGCCACAAAACCCACCACAAAAAACCTGCAAACACTTCAGCACATATGCAGACTTTGGTGAGATTTCTGAAAGCAGCTCAAGCCAGTCAGTAACTCCAGCCCTTGCAGAAGTAAAACACTTGCATCAAGAAGCAAAAACTGAAGTATGTCTCTTTTTCAGTCATCTGCTTTCTTGTGGCAATCACCCATGAGAGCACGTTCCAAGTAGCACCCTTGAAGTTGTGTTGAGTGTCCAGGAAGTCTGTGTGGTTATGAAAACTGCCACTGAACAAACAGCTTTTGAACCTGGAGTCACAAACAATTCCCAGCCAGGCAGACGTGCTCCAGTGTGGGGATGAAATCAGGTCTTTCAAAACCACCTGACAGCACCACTTCATGACAGGTATCAAAATGCAACTTTATTGATGAAACACTAATTAAAAGACCAACTAAATCCAGGACAAAGATGTTTCATAGACTGCAGTGTCTATGAACTAGGCATTAAACACATTTTTTATGAGCTATACAATAATGGGAGGGGGCAATTATGACAACCAGTTTCCTCTGGCCACTGCTCAGACCCAGGCTAGTTCCCCCAGCAGGCTGAGGAGGTTGTCTGTGCACTGATTCACCAGCAACACTCTTTAGCAAGTCCCGTGTGAAGCATTGCAGAAACAGCTACAATCAGTGTCCATGCTTAGGTTTGGAAAAAAAATAAATAGGAAGTTAAACAACAAATTTCTCTCTATAATACAAAATATATTTGTCCTCCATGAAATCACACGAAGTCTTCCAAGAGGAAAGTTTCTCCCAGTGCAGCTAAGGATTCACAAAGACGTTCTTGGAAACTGCTGTCAAATATGTCACTTATCTCCTCTCTCAGCTCCCTCAGCAGAGGCACTGTGGACTTACCATCTGCATTCAGGATTCTCCCCAAAAGTTTGCTCCAGAAATCACTGTCAAAAGTCCAAAAACAAAGAGAGCAGCTCTCAGTGAAACAGTATCATACACGTGTCTGTCAAGATTTCTATTTATATTCAGCACTAAATGCCCTGGGAAAGCCAAGTCTGAAATAATTTCACTCACTTGAGTAAATGAAAAGGAAAACCAGGAATGCATTGTTGAGTTTACACATGTGGGCTCCTCTTTCTCCAGCAGGCTTCTGGACAGGCTGCTTCACAGGTCTACCAAAACCACTATTTCTACAGTCACCTCTTTAAGTGTCCCTGACCACTCTTCATCATAGCAAGAAGCCTCCTTTCTGCTTCTCACTGCCTAAATTCACAGAACATTCTTTGAGGCAAGTTATCCTTTGAATACACTGCTCAAAAAACCCCAAACAACCCACAAACAACAAAACAAAAAACCCCACAACCCTCAAAACTAAGAAACATCCCCCCCCCAACCACTTTCCAAGTCACTTCTAGAACTTTTGACAGGAAGGACAGGAGTAACACGACCTTCACAAAAGAAAAGGAGAATGACTGAAAGCAATGGGAAAGAATCTTGTGTCTATATGGTTGTTGCAAGTGTCACTGCCACACGTGGCTGTACACCAAGGATAAAGCACAAGATTGATATCCATCAGCTGACTCTTCCCACAGGGAAGTGTTTAACTGTGCAGCCCCTTCTGGTGGCTGAAGATTCCCTGAAGCAGTAAACTTGTCAGAGGTTACCTGAAAATTTATTGAAAGCTTCAAATTGACTGGAGGAAGTGTCATCAATTAATAAGAGCCAGACACACTAAAAGATCTGTGTGATTGGAAAGAGATTCATGCAGGTTCCTCATTCCTGCATAATGAAGTGCCTCATTTACACTGTTGATACAAGACTTCAGACTTGTGTGGCTTCATCTGCAGTAGCTCAAATTTAATCTCTTGTAGAATTATAATATTATTAATAAAAACTTTAATTTAAAAAAGGCAACATTCATCAGAAATCTGTCCCTCTGTTCCTACAGAATATTGTTAAAAACAGATCAGGTTCTGACAGAAATTAATATACAGGAGTCCTGTTCTCTGGAGCAGGTCAGATTTACAAAGCTCCAAGATATTTAGTGTTAAAATAGGTCAGAGGAGAGCAAAAGCCAGTCTCCATCAGTGACTGAGTTGCCTCAAATCATTGAGACAAAGGCTGTATAACATCCATATTTACTGCCAGCCTGTGCATCACTGACACCCCTCTCTTCAGAGAAGGGTCAGCCTTGGCAATTCTGTTCTTCACAGCCTAGTGCTGCAAGCTGATTCTCTGAAGAAAAGCCAAGAGCCACAGGGTACAGCCTGGCACCCCCAGTGAGGACTGGGCAGAAGCCTGTGAGAGCCTTGTAGCTACTGGGAGCAGGAGGAGAAACACAGATATGCCTAGTAGAGAAAAGCGCATTTTTGTCCTGTACACAGCTCAAGAAGAGATTTTTTCCAGAGGTTGAAGCTAGCAAACTGGGAGGCATAAGCCATGCAGGTTGCTAGGGAACTGGACAACTCCTGGTTGGCAGCAGTTTTTCTTAAAGCCATGGCTACAGAAGTACATCCACAGAGAGGGGAGCTCAGGTGCCACCACCCTGAGCACAGGGAGCTGTCACAGCATCCCTGTCACCAGCACAGTGCTGGGAAACCCTCATGCACTGCTAAGGTAGAAATTAGCATTTAAAACTATTTTCCTTCTTGTGCACATGTACTGTTTCTGTATACAAACAGAACTCTGGCATCAGGGTCTCTGTAGCCCTGCAAGATACTTCAAGATAGCCCAGAATGAAAAGAGCAGGAACCCACAGTAATCTCAGTTTCTAAAGCAATGTGCTCATATAAGTTTTCTTCCCCTCTTTTAACAGCCACCAACTTGCTAACTTCTCCAAACTTAGTCTATCAAGTGAAGACAGAGTCTAAAAGCAGTCTGGCCTGAAAGGATAGAAAAAGCAAAACCATCTCAAGTGGCCTTTTTTTGGCTCAGAATCACCTTAAAATTGTCTCCTACACAGCACTAAGGCTACTACCCAATGAACAAGTCTATAGCTTCAGAGTTGAAGTCCCCACAGAACTAATGCTTTTGGCAAACAGTACCAAGTTATGTGTTCTAAGCTTTGAAGATGGTACCACTGTGAAGAAAGTGAAGTCAGTCAGAAGTCTGTTCTTTCCCAGCAGCCTCCTCTGCAAAACAAACTTACTTTGATACATTTTGGCTGATCTTCCAGGTGGAATTCTCTTGGTAGACCTGGACATGATCCCCAAACAGCATCAAATGGACTATATCTGCAATGCCAAGCAAGTCCACCTGCAGTGACAACAAAAAGCAGAGAATTCAGCTTCTGTGCTGGATGGCAGAAACTGGCCAATTTCTACTGTTTTGCACATTTAAGTCTGCACTGGTCTGTGCATTGGAATCTTCTAGAGACCTGTTAAGCCAGAAAACTTCAAGAACTAAAATTCTGGTCTTATTGTAGGTTCCTAAGTATATACAGCAGTCACAGGCACTCAGCAGCACTCTAGTCCCTTCACTTAATGCCAGAGATTAAATTAGATGAAAAATTCTCTTTATTCAGTATTTGTTGATCAAAACTTTCCACAGTGTTTGGAAAATATAACACTTAAGAAAACAAACATTCTGTGGACAAAACACAGAAACTCAGATGTCCTGCTAAACAGAGACTCACCTGATAAGGAAGAGAACTTTTTGCCAGAAGCTGTTGTCCATGAGGGGTCTGACATATGGGAAAGCTGTTGGGCAGACTTACTTGAGACTGTAATCTCAAATCTAGACTGTGAGAGAAATCCACTATCTTCAGAGCACTTGTCATCTCATTATTACCAAATGGATCACAGATCCTGAGCAGAAGCAAATGAAGCATAAGACAATATAACAAACTCTTTGGTTTTTTAATGAAATTTAACAGCATCATGAAGGTGAGTCTTAGCTATGTCAATGCTCCCCTCTGATGGTTGGCCTAAGAACTACTGCTGAAGGGACCACCCCCGGATGGGGAACCAGCTGGCAGCCTGAAGCCTGCAGGTGACACTGGTATCTCCAGAGGAAGCAACAGGAAACATTCAGGGCCTAAGGATGACACTGGTTTGGTATTTGTCAGTCATCTGAAACATGGTAGAACAGCACAGGATTTAACACTTCAAGACCTCAGAGTACATCATACAAGGAAAAATTAAGTTTCATTATACTTGAATAAACCTCTCCTAGTCTAGAATCTAGGAAGGACAAACAGAAGGGGCAGTGAGGACTCAGCAGTGCCCTGCCATCTGTACACGCCAGCCACACCCACTGGGTGCACTGCTCACTGCTATTCCTCTTGCACACTCGTGCACTAGGAGTGTATGTTGTAATTTATACCATCCACCTGTCCAAGGGTAATTTTTGCTATCTAGCAAAAAAATACTGTTAGCCCTAACCGTTTTGGCATTTTAGTTTGGTTTGTATTCACCACAGAGAAACCCAGCAGGAGAGATCCAAGCCCATCAAGACACTGTTAGATCAGTGACTTGCAGACTGGGATGTGCACAGCCTGAGGGATGTGTGAGACAGTCCACTGGGGTGTGTGAAGAAAATATTACCACTTCAGTACTCCATGCATGTAATTTATAAATAAACTATGTTTACTTGTAACCTGATTATATAATTATAAAGATATTATAAATAAAATATTGGGAGTGTACATGTTAGATGCCTGTAGGTTCAAAATCAATTTAAAGTCAATAGCTATTTTTAACACATCCATGAAGACTGAGAACACCCTCAGTGAATTCCTTCTAATGGAATTTTATCTGAATCATTAGACATTCCAAAGTTACCACCTTCCCATGCTCAGTTCACAGATCACATTCCCAGGGATATATGACTTTGTTAACATAATATGGGAAAGAGCTTAAAGAAGAAAACTAGATCTCTGCATCAGGTCCCAAGCTGGACCTTAGTGGAGGCTAAGCAGCCTGGGTATTCCAGTCCCACCTGCCCTTTGTCTTTTCATTTGCCTTCTGGTTTTACATATCTGAAAACCAGGAAATTATTTACCAATATCCAGGTACCTTGGTAAAACAGAAACATGAGAGCATGGGTAACAGCAAGAACATTTTGTTTAGTGTGAGTCTCACAACATCACAGTAAGCTATTTCCATAGAAATCAACACAGGAAAGGTTCATTCCTAAACAAAGTGTTTTCACTATTTTCAGAATACATTGTAGCCTAAAAAACATGGATTGCAATATCAGTAGTGCCCCAGCTAAAGAGAAGAAATTACAAAGGCACAAGAGCTGAAGCTGAAACCAAGTGTTATGTATCCTCCCATATTTGTAGAAAAAGACCCACCTGTCTCCCAGAAAGAACACCTCTGGAGTCAGATCTCCATGGACAATCTCTGCTTTGTGGAGCTTCTCTACCACACCCAGAAGATTATAAACAACCAGCAGGATCACTTCCTCTGTGATGGATTTACAGCCACGAATAACATCCTGAGAACAGGGGACAAACATGCAGCTCTCAGCCATTCTACCTTAGATTAAGGGAAAGATTTATAGTTTGCCTTTATTTTTTTTCCCTTGCTCACCCAGGACAGAGGTAACAGTCCTACCCTAAATTCAGTACAATCAGACTTAGCCTGTGATAATCTCAGTGAGAAGTAAAAGAATGAGTTCTTAGGTGACACTGTTACTCAAAAGTGGACAAAAGATCAGGAGGAAGAGACTGAACTGAAAACTGAAATCACTATTTAATCTGTATCCTATTTATATGCAACAATTCCTAATGTGCTTACAAGATTTTATTTAAAAAGTAAATCCTTCAGCAAGACACTCAATGCTATGACCTTGCCATGGCAGACTGGAAGAGAAACTCATTGCAAGGTGCCAAGTTAAACAAGTGTTTTAGAGGCAGACCTCGCTGTGAAGCAACACGTGGTTCCTGGCTCAGGTCAAGGAATAAAGAAAAATGTGAAAAACTGCTTCAAGTTTGTCCCTGAGAAGCACATGATCTATGAATGAGAAACCAGCTCTAAGGCTATGACAGACAGGCCTAACTGGTGTACAGAGAACACAACAGAAGGTCCAGGCTGCAGGATGAAACATGTGAAGCTGTCTTCAGCAGTGAGGCCCATGACAAGCACCCAGCAGCAGGAGCAAGAGCTCCCGGGCCTGCAGGTGCCCTGGGGAGGGACACTGACCCCCAGGGTGAAGCGGTTGATGTCCCTGTGCAGCAGGGCACAGCCATCCTGGAACAGGAAACAGCTGCAGCCCCCACTGAAGCTCTGGTCCAGCTCAGCACCCAAACGCTCCCGCAGCTGAAGCGTGATGTAGAAGTCCCAAGGCACAGGCTGAGAGTACACCTACAAAAACGTACAGAGGAACATTTATTTTGGGAATGAAGCAAAAATTACTCATCTTCATATTCTTCCCATCCTCTTTTGCTCCTCCCTGCTTTACCAAGGAAGACATTTTCCACAGTCAGAAACTTTTCATTTGTATCAACAATTAGAACCTGAAGTGGCAAACTTCATGCACAGGATTCAGAGATTACAACCAAACCAACCACATTGGCTGAGATTTCAACAGGTCACTCTTCTCATGTGATAGCCATGACATGTGTTACCTTTATTGCAAATCCCTTTGCATCCAGCTGGGGAAAGTTAGCTGGAATAGCAAAGAACATCTTGTACTCTTCATTGGACCAATATTCCCATTTGATGCAGTAAGTCTCATTTCCTGTCAAAAAAAAGTTTACATTTATGAGCTGCCACAGCAAATAGACACACCCAGGCTGTTCAAGGTGTTCCTCATCTACACCACAAAACTAATGGGGGTGCATAGGAAGCATGTTTCAAACCAACCCGACCATACATTGACCCCTGCCCTGTGGAGTGTCTGGCAGACCTACCCAGCTCAACATCTTTCTCAAGCTGCATGAGAGGCAGAGTGCCAGACTCTGAGTGGAAATCTGGAGCAGCAGTCAGGGAGCCTGGCAGGGGATCCAGGAGCTTCTTACGCTGCTCAGTGCCCCACAAGAGCTGAGCTACCTCACCACCTAGGAAGAGAAGGAATAGAAATAGATGAGCTGAAACTAGGTGTTGAGTCTCTGTGACTTCACTGTATCTGTCAAGTAAAAGTGACCTGGATGTTGGAAGCTTTCTGTCTGCACTGATTTACTGCATCACCCTTCAGCAAGTCAACCTCTTTCCAGCAGATTCTTGCACTGTGAACTCTCACCTTTGAGGCTACACCAGACTATCACAAGGTTTCAGTGATTCTGCTGTAGCATCATGTGAGGTGTATCTTGCACAAGAGACAAAGCCCTGAATCACATCAGGTGCTCCTGCCCAGACACTGCCAAATGCAACCTTGCTTTGCAAATTAATGTTCCTTTTTAAATTTATGTCCAGAGCACATCATCACTTTGTGATTTTTAAATGAAGAAATTTATTGAAATTCACTCCTTTGAATACAGCAGGAGTTTTATTTAGGAAAAGGAGAACAAAGGACTCCCACTGCTGCTCACTACAACTTTAAGAATTTAATGGCTTTTACCTCCTGGAAGACACATAAGACAATTACAAGTAGGTCTGGGTTTATTTTCCTGCATAATAAGACAGAGAGAAAAATCACTCAGTATATGAGTTTATCTGTACAATACCAGGTAGCCTGGAAAGTGTTGCTCACAAATGATCAGAGTAAAACACAGCAGAACTAGATGGCTTCTGCAGCTTCCCCTCCCAAAGACTGTCACTAGTAGTTTTAAGTTGTTCTAAGTAATTCTATGGCAGCATTATAAGATTTCACAGTACAAAGATAAGAATCAGCGTATCATTACCTACTGTTGTATTATTTGAAAAGCATTGCAAAGACATTGCTCAGGAAGTAATTCCATGGAAGTAGACCCAAGAAAGATTGTAACATCAGGAGAAGACAGGGTATGATTACAGAGAGAGGGAAGGGAAAAAAAAATTAAGACAAAACCAAACAAAAGCTGTCTTAGAAGTTTTCACTACCATCCAGTCATAATCTGACCATGTTACCCCTACACACTCCCTGCTTTAATACCTTAAATTAAATAACTTCTCTGCCACCTTACCATTTATGCCTTTTGCATGCTACAAGCATGCTACCCTGTGTCCCTCACTGCTTCTGACAAGGGAGACACAAGTTTAGTCACAAGTCAAAGCAATAGGAAACACAGAGAAAGCAGAGTAGGATATAGAAGTTCAGAAAAAGCACCACAGTTCAGTGACAGCTGCAAGTTATTTGCTGTGAGTGAAACTGAGTTCAGTACTAACCAGTGATGTGTTCACTGGTACCTCCAGAGTCAGCAGCCACTTCAGCAGGCAAGCTCTGAGCAAGTTCCAGTTTCTCAGGGATAGGCAGGTATTTAATGGTAGACATTTGTGTAACAGAGCCAAGAGAAGATCCTGAGGAGACAGAAGAACCTGACAAGCGAGTATCTTCCAGGCTTGCTTCCATGATGGGGCTGTAAATAAAGTCACAGCTATTCAGACTTCCAGAAGCTGCAGTGCCTAGATAAAGCCAGCCTGGTGGCTATGAAAGGATGCTGTGTGCTCCCAGACTCCCTGATGTTAAAGAATTCCTTTCTCATCCCTAGTGGAAAACCAGTAGTTATGGCAGAACATTTTAGCTTCAATGTTGGTACTTGGAATCTCAGCCTACAGATGAATTTTAACTTCTCTTCCATTAAATGACTGCTACAATAGAAGACATACTGAATGTTTATTACTCCCTTCCCTACCAAAATTCAGGCCTCCAGTGCTTTTAGAGCACTGGAGGGTTGGGTGGGAAGTAACTCTTGCTCTTCCTTCCTAATTATAATCAGCATGGTTTCCCAAGGAACTTGCCAAGTCAACAAACACCTTCAGCATGGTCTGCATGCTTACACATGAACAGCCAGCACACCAAACTCAGTTATATGATAAGAAAACCCCCCAACAGATGCTTTTTCCTTTACAATGACAAGAAACAGAAGGTTGTTTGCCAGGTTTTATTCTTCTCTCCAGCTTTTATCCTCTGTACAAGAAATCTAAGTCATAATCAACAGATGTGTTTTATATACTAAAATAACTACAGAGCTATACAAGCATAAAAGGAACTGATGATTCTACTTTTAATCTCTGGTTAAAGACAGAATGTGTTTATTAGTTCCTTTGCAGGTTATGTGGTAGAAAAGCATGGAGCCAAGTGCCACAGCAATGATGCTGAGAGGCCAAGTGGCTTTGCCATTACTTAATCTAAATGTGCTCAAGGCAAAACAGACCCTGAGCTGAAGAAATTCTGTCTTTAGTATACTCAGGTCTTTTCAGAGACTTGTTTCTTCAGCAACAGAATAGTAAAACCACAGTCAACAAACACCACACAAGGAAAGAGGATTAAGGTGCTTTGCTGTCAGTTACCTCAGCTTATTCACACGAAGAGCCTCATCATATGCTCCCTCACAAACGAGGGTCTCCTGAGTCAGAGGTGCACTCTTGGACTCTGGGCTGTCTTCCTTCAGGACACACTGTGAGAGAGCAGGAGCTGGGACTCTCTGAGCTACCATCCCATGGAAGGGCGTTGAGGCCAGATGGGCAGCCCTAACAAAGTCACACGTGTCCTCTGGGTTGGCACAGAGGGTTTTGTTCTTGTAGGAGCCTGTCACAATTGCATCTTCAGCCAAATTTTCAATTCCATTCAGCTCATCCTGAAGAAAAGTAGGAAGAGACAGTGAAAAGCCTGTAGATTTTGTCAAATATTCTTTTAATTTATGTAAAAGCTGAACACTTCTCTGCCCTTTCTTCCACCCCATCACCTTCCAGCATGAATCTGACACTCAGTCTTCCCATATGCACCCTATTTACACTGCTCAGACTGAGTAATTGAACACCAGCTGTAATATAGTTGCTTATTTTTCTTCCAACTAGGAAGTGTAGCTTTGTGACCCTCCAGAGTGCTAAAGAGCAGTCACAAACTGTTAAAGGCCACTTAGCACCCATCACCCCAGAAGTGTGCTTCACTTCAGTTGTAACCACATATTTAAAGTGTTTACTAAAATGTTGGGTGTTGAAGGCACACAGAAGGTGTAAAGCAGAACTATGCAGTTATCCAGACTGACTCCAGAACCAAGATCAGCACTATGCTTACCACACTTAACCCTGCTAAGTGTTGCATACTGCAGCTGCACATAAAGTCCTCCTCAGCTCAGACTAAAATCCTCTCACTTGACCAGTCTAAAGGTCTGTTACTGTCGTGTGCAGGAGCTAAGTCCTTTAGTGAGACAGCAACCACCACCAATACTGAAAGCTTTACAAACATCTGCAAAACTGCCACACAGAGGCACACAGCTGAGGCAACAAGTACAAAGGTTTAAGGGAGTCAGGCACACAGTACTTTGGGTGAGTAACGTGGCAGCTGAGATGCTGCTTTGGATGCACAGTGAGAAAGTGAATGGAACTAGAGGCAGCATTTAAGACTGCAACTCCTCATCACTGAGTTTCAGCATGAGGAATCCTGGTTACTAATTGGTTGCTTAAAATTTGGGAGATCCCTCACCATCATCATATTGGCCACCTTAAAGCCTAATAAAAATATGGAATTTCCAGTGTAATCCTAACACCACCTAATCCAAGTATTGCCATGCCAGACAGAAGTTTAGAGAGTTTTTACTTATCACACATCATGTCAATCCAGCCAATTTCCCTCAGTTCAGTGTCAGCAGGACGTGCTCTGCTGATTTCTCCTCGCCAGGAGATGTGCTATGGGGTGACTTGGTTCCTTACACAGGCCTCTGGTGATAGGTTTTCCTTGGCAGTTACAGAATCTGAAGGTTTACGAACAGCGAGAGGACGCCGGGCACCTTTCTGTGGATGGTCTGCAGAACAACTAAGATAAAGTCACATTCCATTAAGTTTCTGTTACAACAGCTTCTGATCTTCCACAGACATTTCTCTCAAGACTCAAAGTCTACTGAAAATGTCAGTCTAGCACTTTCTACTACAGAACTACCACCAATCTGCAATACAGCTCCCCAGAATGAAGGAAGTTTATATAGCAGCTTAAATAGTTCTAGACTGAGAGGGAACAGCAGGAGAGTATTTCCTCACCATGGGCTTCCCAAGCAGGGTTATGAAACAGAACAAAAACATACAAATATAAACAAAGCACCACCACACAGCCATACAAGAAACAGTTACTGTATTTTAGCTCCTATAGAACATGGTTTGATACTTCAGTTTTCCCCTCCCTCTGAAATTTAGATCTTGAGTAATTCTACCTTATGTTCTGATTTGCCAAAGTAGAGGATTCATCAAATATGGAGAAGAACGTAGCAGAAGCTGGTGGAGGAAGGAGACCTACATCTGTAAATTAAAACCAAGAGGATCTATTATACCAATAGCTTTTCCACAACAGTGTGTCCAAAGCTATTTAAACATTTAATACAATAAAGATCTTACAAATACCAGTCCTAGTGGGAAGTTGCAGAGCTGACATTTAAAGAAGCCTATGAATGAAGCACACTTGTGCCATCACACCAGGTTAGCCAGCTGGCTCTGTTCAGAATATACCTCAGAATTTGTACCTTTTTTCCCAAGGTCGGCCTCATCTCTCTGTTCCTCCTGTTCATCCTCAGACTCTAAAACAACATTTCCCCTTTGTGTATCCAGGCCTGCACCAAGAGGCTGGATAGGCTCTGTCAACAGCAACAGCAGTTAAATCAGGTCACAAGTAAGTTCCTTCAGCATGCACCCTTCCCAAAACCAAAACTGAACATGTCATTTCTGATTGTATTCATCTACCAAACCCTGAGGAAAAAGGACTTAAAGTAGTATCAAGCTTAATCCTAGTGTTAAACTGGTTTACAGATTTTAGTTAAGACTGCATATACAAAAGTGTGAATAAAGCTCTTCAGCTCTTAAAAGAAAAAAGCTCTTTTGCTTGAAAGATAGTGACAGTTCTCAGATCCCAGGTGCTTGGACTTTTGCCAAATATGGTTAAAGGCACTACTACCACATTCTCATTTTCATTCTTCTAATCCACCTAGACTTTTGGGTTTAGTTTGTTGCAGTCTTGCTGTTCATATAAAAACACTTCCCTCTAATGTGGCCTCTCCTTAACAGGAAAAAACCATGCTTACCTGCAGAAGAAGAGGGTTTATGGGCTTGAGTACCTTCAGAGATCTGGACCTCACTGTGAAAAAGATACAAACTTGCTTCTTATCTTTCACACACTTTCCCAAAACACAAGTAAACTTTGTAAAAAAGGCAAGCCAAGTAGACATGGGCTACTTGTAAGAAGTTAAGATCCCTCAGTCAAATAGTCAAAAACATAAGGACAAATTACAGATCCTGGTTACAGGCTGATGCCTGGGGGTATAATTCCATCCTGCCTGCAGAACAGGCTCTGTTAGTGATCCACATTACTCAATTATCCCCACAAATCTCATTGCTGCCAAAGAAAATCCTGTATTACCTTTGCAGCTGAGGCTGTTTCTCCCCAACTTCTGTTGCACTGGAAACAGTAAATTCTTGTGGTCCCAAAGGTGGTGAAGCTTCTGTTGTCTCTGTTGGCTGTAGAAACAAACCCATATTTTGGTTCTACAGTGATGGAATCACAAGCCATGCAACAAGGTTCCAAGAATATGATGATAATCCTGTGTAGGTCATTAAAGCCCTGATGGATTAATAGTTTTCTTTGTCTATTTTTGTTTGTACTTAATTTGCTCACATGAAAAAAAAGTCCATTCTTACTGCTCAGTGCAGTTAAAGCATAAGTTTAAACTTTTCAACCATATAAGACTTCCACAGATTTTAGTTACACTGCATCTATAAAGACATATGTGTGCAGTTACATGTTTTACATCAAATTAACACTTTGTATATCATTACATTAAATATTTACTACTAAATATTTACTACTAAGGCATTGTTTTGGAGATGGGGAAGGGGGGAAGAATGGAAAGCAAACACTTTATTAGCCTAATGGATTAAGTACAGAAAAGCTTTAAAATCATTGACTTCTACTTGTTGTTTGCAACCCACAAGAAAACTAGGGTTTAAACACTCCCTAGCCATGAAAGACCAAAGTATTCTTGCTTGAAAGATAATCTGCTCAAGACTGGTCTGCATAGAAGTTAAAAAACCCCTAGTATACCATAGAGCATAGTACCCTCTATAAAACCTGGGGACAAATCAGGTGGTTTTGTGTACTGGTCTTGGCTGGGATAGAGCCAAGTTTTCTTCATAGTAGCTGGTATGGTGCTATGTTTGGGTTTTTTGGCCAAAACAATGTTGATAATACAGTGGTGTTTTAGCTACCACTGAACAGTGCTTACACAGCATCAAGGTCTGCTCTCCACACTGCCAGCCCAGCGAGGTGCTGGGGGTACACAACCACCTGGGAGGGGACACAGCTCAGAGAGCTGACCCCAAGGACATCCCACACCGTGTGGCATCGTGCTCAGCAGTAAAATCTGGAGGGAGGGGAACATTCAGATTTATGCCATTTGTCTTCCAGTCACTGTTTACATGTGATGGGCCCTGCTTCCCTGGCCATAGCTGAGCACCTGGCTGCCAGTGGGAAGGGGTGAATTAATTCCTTATCTTGCTCAGCTTGCATGCACAGCTTTTGTTCTGCCTGCTGAGCTGTCCTTATCTCAGCCCAGGAGTTTGCCACTTCCACCCTTCTGATCCTCTCCCACCCTTCTGATCCTCTCCCACACCCCACTGAGGGGGAGTGAGCAAGTAGGTGTGTGCCACTTCACTGCTGCCCAGGTTAGCCCACACCACCCTGCAACCCTTCACTTCTTCCCCTACTTCCAGCTTCTCCTGCCTTCCTCTGCACTGCAAATTCTCTATGTAAGAGAAAACTGGACATGAATAGAGCTTAAGAAAGAGCAATTTGCTCTTAAGTGTTTGGCATACCTTTACTTTAAAAAATGTAGTAGTTTATACCCTAGCATAAGGTATCTTGTCCAATTGTTAAATAGCTTCATACTTGTAAAGTAATGCTATAAAACTTGAAGCCTTTGATTTACATTCCTATAGTGAAAATATGTGGTTTGGGGAGAAGAAAAGAGCTTTCTCTGACCACCCACTTGCTGTGTGATGCATGTGGACAATAGTCTGAAACACCTTTTCAAAAAGATTTAAAAAGTGTTAACCGAAGAGAAACATTAGATACTGTTCCTTCTTTGGTACTTTTACTTAAAATAGAAGCTATTTGTAAAAGAACAGTTAAATGAGGACAATACCTGTTCACGTGGTTGTTGCTGCTTGTCATCTTTCTTCTTTAACTTCTTCTCCAGCTCCTCAATTTTCCTTTGTATTTCTTCCTTCTGCTGAGCTATGGCCTGCATCTCCTCTGAGGAAGGAAAGCTTATAAGGCATGATGCCCATTTCCTGTGCGACCTGTGGCTAAAGCCTGAATTCTTTTTAAAGGGCTAAAACCTCCAGCCTTCATTCCCTGTTTCACAGCTAAAGCTGGCAGATGTGACTTTCTCTGTACCTCAGAGTAGTTAAGTAATCATTCCCATAGACAAAGAAAAGCAGCTGCACTAACAGCTGTATGCTGATAAGAAGTATAACTCTATGATTCCCCCTCAGAAAGTCTTACACCATCCCATTTTGAAGCATACCTTCAGTTTTCTTTTTTGCTTTCTTCCTGTAGATTTCAGCTCGGATCTCTTCCAAAGAAAATTCTTCAACTCCAGCATAAACTTTCTCTTTGCAGTACATCACCACCTCTTTCTTTTCTTGAGGCTCCTGCTGGTGGTTTTGCACTCGCTGTAGTGGGTCCTCCTCCTTCTCAGGTTTGCGAGCACTTAGAACATGATTTATGCTGGGTTCAATTTTGCAGGGAGTCCTGGAAAAAGGTGCAGTTATTACTTTGATTCTATGTGCTTCACTGACAGAGAAGAAAGCATAGGAGGGAGAATAGCTAATTTCAGAATCTAGTTGTAGAATAATGTAAAGACATTCTGTTCTGTTGATAGAAAAAAAAAAAAAGGCAAGAAAAATGGAATGAGAGCACACCAAAGGCAAAGGTACCAACTCAGAACTGTGAAATCAAAAAAAAAACCAAACCCAAACCACAATGTTAATAAGGCCCAGTCAAGAGCAAAAGAAATTCTTATGATACTCTGAATTATTGTGCATTTTAGAGCAGGGTCTGTGTTTACTTTAGCTCCATCAATCTATGTGACCACAGAGGTGACAAGGCCCTAACCACAGAATCAATCATCCTACAAACCTCAGTCTATCTAGGAGGGAAAAAAGAATCAGTGGGACTTCAAAATAGAAGATCTTGGACTAGACTAAGCCTGGCATTTCAGGCTAAGGGAAGATTTAAGCAGCAATAAGAGAAGAATTTGCTCAAGGAGAATGTTTTGCATGCTGAGTGATAGAAATGAAGCATCCTATCCAGAAAACATGCAAAAAAACCCACAAAAATCATGCAAAAAAACAAAAATCACAAAAATCCCCATCACTGTCCAGTGAAAGGAGTCTGTAGCCGTCTGTTTCTTAGCTTGAAAGCTCTTCCTGCAAGTGCCACGTGCTAATTTCAGGAGAGCAGAACCTGAATTTGTACAGTTTTACAGGTACCAGGAATCCAGAGGCTCAGCAATTATCTGTACCTCAATAAAAGATGATCTGAACAACTGACCCTGAGAAAGGTGTTAATCCTGGCCTGGGTAAGTGGTTCAAAAGAAACCACAGTGTGCAGTCCCAAGACATGTGGTTTGCTTTGCCTGTGAATGGACTCACAGCCCTGAGACCATCTGGGAGATAAGCAAACAGGAGCTCCCCAGGGCTGGGGGGGGTTAAAGCTTTTATTTGTGGGCTGGAGGCTTATTACCAAGATCAGGACAGAATCTTCTACCCAAATCTCCAGATGACAACTGAGAATGTGATTTGCATCACATTTAGACAGTTCCAACCCAAAACTTTTGGGCTTGTCAGTTGATGACTGTGGATCACAAGGAAATGGAGTCAGAAGTAGGTGGGGGAAAAAAAAAAATCTGCTTTTAAACTTTCAGCTACATAGTATAAAACCATGTACAAATTCTTTGCTCAGGGTGCTTACAGCTTAAACCTGGTATTAACCAGTTCCCACACACCCCTTCCTTTTCCTGCTCTAAAAAGATGCTACTTTCTGTAAACATTGTGTCCACACAAGAGACCAGCAGGTCAGGAGATCCAATTCCACAGCACCACTCTTAGAGCTTAGGCAGAAAGTTGTTTTACATACCCCTAGACTAACTGACAGCATGTCCTTGGTCAGAGCTACTCTGCAGCCCATGTGCAACATACAAGAGCCACAGAAAAATCCATGCTGTCAGCTTCCTTCCAGCATCCTTTGATTATAGGCAGGTCAAAGCCAAGGGAGCTGGCTGTAATATCAAACATACTTCTCTGCTCCTCTCTCAGGAGGAGCCCACATCTCCCATGGCCACCCTCAGCCCCAGAGTCAGGAAGCTGTGCAGCTTTGCAGAAGGATGTGATGTGCAAACCAGAGCAGCTGCAGCTCCCGGGGTCGATCAGCATTCCAGGGAGCAGGGAACAAGCAAGAAGGTGATTTCAGGCAAACCAGCACACTCCTCCAGAATCCCAGCAACACTGTTTCCATGGAAACTCTGATAGCTTGTTGCAGACTAAGCTCCAGCTAGAAGCACAGAGCTCCCAGCAGAGGGGAACACAGCAATAAGCTGCCTCAGTTCAGGGTGGCTTTCACAGCAAACAGCATCCTGAGAGGTAACTCTGGTTTTGTGTAAACACACTGAGCTAAGCTATTAAGCTAATTAGCACATAGAAATATGCTATAGGCTCCCACATAATGAGCAGTGATAGTCAAACACTCCCCATGTCCTTATGCACCCTGCACTGAAGCCCCTGCCATCAAGCTAAAGCACCAAGAGCTTCCAGGCTGGCAGATTTTTAAACTCCTGCAAATCTAGATGCTTGGCTACGAGTCAGAAACTGATGAGGCAGCTTTGGCAATTTCAGGTGCAATTCCCATTTCAGGCTGGAGACTCACATGACTTGTTGCTGAGCTGACTCTTCCACGTAGGGGGTGAAACTGGGCAGTGGGTAGGACACTTCTGCACCTGCACTGGCACTGCTGCGAGGACGCTGAGGGGGCAAAGGGCAACGTTAGCAGCTTGAAGAGTCACTTTAAACTCTACACATTCCTGTGTCCTTTTAATCTCTCTTTTCATTGTGTTTGGCTCATTTGTAGTTTTTGTTATTTAAAAAAAAAAAAGATTTAGCCTGATGGACTTTTCCAAGATTAATTTACAAGATTAATTGCATTCAGACACATAAAAGGCTACAGACCATCAGCCCAGCACCAGCACCTAACAAGGCAAGGCACTCTCCTCCTCTGTGTCCCCATCAGTCCCTAACTGCTGTTATTCTGAAGAAATACTGGGCAAGCTGGGTGTTCAGGTTGCTCCTGTTTGTTTTCCAGAAATGCTATAGTGCTCATTTTTCAGCCCAGTTTTATGATATTATTCCTTCTGCTAGCCACCAAGGACCTCCTGACTTTGCAGTTTTCCTCTCAGAGGTCATTCCAACACCACAAAAATCCCTTAACTGCTGCTAGGATCCATTATTTAAGAGAAGACAGATGGAATTTAGTCTGGCAACATGTTACTCTCATCTGCCTACTTGACATTCCCCTAGACTCTTCAGCAGAGAAAGTTACATAATGGGGATATTTCAAGCTGGCTTCTATTTTCTACCATTTTTCAAACTGTTTACTCAGCCTTCTTCACAGGGGCAATCACAGAGAAGCCTTTTTCCTCTGGGCAGCTTTTAACACCTCAGAGCCTTCACAAAAGGGTGTTCTTTCACTGTGACACAGAACGAGCACCACACTTCCCTGCAGGTGAATTGAAACATCTTCTGTTACTTGCAGCTTTCTTTATTTTTCTCTTTAAATTACACCTAACAAATTTCATGAAAGGGGAAACACAGAACTCTGTGGACAGACAGAAGAAAACAAAAGCATCTGTGGACCAGAATTCATGTATTAAGCAGCCCAAAGCAAGGCAACTGGTGAAAGTTTTACATTAATAATTCTTCCTCCTCATTCTTCTCAGCTAAATTAAACCTGTGGTTTACTGAACTTTTCCATTCACTTAATCTAACCACTTTGTATCTGCCAGTAATTCTTCCTGGAGTTTCCTTTTATTTCAGATCATTTACTTACCCTCCCCCCCAGTTTTCCTTTCTAAGCTTCACTTGTTAGACTTCTCAATATAGAAGTTTAATCATCTGATGACTTTCTGTTCTTCCTCTCTAATCCACAGAGAAGAAAAGAACACTGGGGTTACCCAAGGACCTGTGAAACAAACCTGATTTCATAGGATTCATTTCCTTCAGGTGATGTCTTGGATCTTTTCTCTAGAACAGTTTCAACACCTGTAGCACAGTTGCTCCTTTTCATGTCTCCAGCACTAGTTTAAACCATTGGAACCTACTGTCTTCCTTTTTTCATCTACTGGCAAGCTTCCCTACATTGTCAGAATAAATATTGCATTGATACAGTAGTTCTGTTCTTTTCATCTCCACTCTTCTGTTTTCCTCTCAAGCATTTCAGAAGAGCTGAAGTGTGTACAGCATTCTGCATTTCCACATACACCCATAAGAAGACAGGCAACAAGTTCTTCCTTTGGGTTTTCTTGTGTGATACCAGTGTAACCCTTGCTCTTCTTTCTTACAGAATTAACTGACCCCTGGCTTCTCTCTCTTTCTTTGGCTAGTGTTTCCCTTGCATTCCCTTCCTACCCTCCAAAGTTTGGCAGGCTAGCTCTTGCTCTTCTTTCTGACAGTATTAACTGACCCCTGGCTTCTCTCCCTTTCTTTGCCTAGTGTTTCCCTTGCATTCCTTTCCTACCCTCCAAAGTTTGGCAGGCTATCCAAGCCAATTTTTCTGCTTAGCAAGAATTATAATTTCTTGATTTAAGAAGAGTCTAGAGAGTTCTTTAAAGGTACTCTAGCAAGATCAACTCACTAAACTTGAATAGACTCAGCATAGCCAGACTCTTAGGGAAGATCTGTAGTTACAAATAGACAAATCCCAGGGAAAAGAGAAAGATCACTTTGTCTCAGCAATCAGAAGCCATCAGCTTACACACACCTCCCTCCTTTCTGCCAGCCCTTTTTGACACTCCTTACCCTGCCAGAGTTCCAAGGTCCTGCACTTAGCTCATTCTCCTTGGCCCTTGGAGCTGGAGGTGCCAGCCATGGCTGTGGTGTCAGTACAGGAACCTCGGGTGCAGAAGCTGAATTTTCATCAAACACAGCAAAACCCACATTATTTGAAAGCTGCTGAGAGTTTATAGTCTGGAAGCTTCTGGTTTGGTTTGTGGCTAGAAGCAAAAACATTTATGCAAGTTAACCTTTAACTATCACAATCTAGTTCAAATTCCATAACAAAAAGATGTGACTCTTCCAATAACATGAGGTTTCAGTAACTGAATTGTACCTTTAAGAGCATCTCCCACACGACTAATTGGGGCTCTCACTTTTTTCTTTCCCCTGCCTTTTAGATCTGCCAGTGAGCTCCTCTGAGGTTCTGCAGCTCCCAGAAGATCTGTTTCTTCAGGAGTCTCCTCCAGCCCCAGCAGTGTCTGCCGAGAAACTCGGGTCTGAAACTGCCTGAGAAGAACATGGAAGAATTCAGCATAAAACCCACTGTGCCAGGTGCCCACAGAAGCACGTGGGACCACACTGAGGTCTGGCCTCTAGCCAGGAGCTCACCTGTGATGGGACTGGAGCTTGTCCAAAGGCTCTGCCTTGCGCTGAAGGCCTTCCTGGAATATCAGATCTGCTTTCTTAAAGCTTCCTCTAGCCTCAAGCACTTCTGCCCACGTGATGTAGAGCAGGGCCAGTGTTGTGCCAATTTCCTGGCTGTGCAGATAACTGTACAGATCCAAGGGCTCGTTACAACAGTTCCCCTGAAACAACCAAATTATTTCAGTAATTGCATTAGACTACAAGGGATTCCAAGCTGACATCTGCATTTTGATGCCTCCTGCAACAGTCATAAGGCCAGGACATACCATTGCATCACGTCACAGCACATGAGGTAAAGGAAAAGAATTCAACAGGACAAGGAAAATAACAATGAGACAAACCTCTGACTGCACATTTGTTTATCAATATCATTACCAATCACTTCATTCCAGCCTACACATTCAAAGTCAGTCATTTCTTAGGTTTTTCTTATCTGAGATAATTCAGTGATTGAAGTATGTCATATTAGCATTCCTAAGAATAGTTATTTTATCTTTAGATAAAGTACAACATATACCTTATCAGTTTTGGAACTGGTAAATTGGCTCAGGAAGCTAAACCTGGAGAAAAGCTGCCTTAGGAAGAAGAGATCAACAACAAAAACTATAATCATGGAGAGAGAGGGCAAGACCAGAACACACTCAGCTTAGTTTTGCTTATCCATCAGATGTGGATAGAAGACAGAAGTTAAAATAACTAGTAGGACAGATAACACCTAAAAATGTATCTTCAAATCACTTTTTCTCCTTAAATAACTAAGCTCCATTCATTCAAATGGGCTCCAAACTGAATGATCCTAAAAAAGGTCTGAAGATCCTACTGAGAAATGGAATTCAAGAGTAGGCAACATACCAGCAGAGAGATACTTCTGATAGTGTACAACCTATCCTTTGACACTATTGTTACAACAATCAGCTTCACAGTGTGCAACAAATGACATGACAAGAAGAAGCAGCACCCAAGTGACAGTGACAAAGCACTCACAAACTTGAGCCAGAGGCTGAGATATCGAGGGTCTTTGTAGTAGCGCTGCTGCTCGTTGAGAGCTTTCACTGCCCTCTCCAGCAGGGCTGCGAGGTTGCCCTCCTTCCCACCCTGGGGGAAGGTTTGCTCTGTCCACCTGATGTACCTACAGATGGAACAGCAGAATATATTCACAGGAGATCAGGTCTGAGTAAGATACAAAGCTTCTCTTGCTGTACAATATACAGAGATTTAGAAAAAAAAATAGACATAGCATTGAAACACAACATATTATTTAAATAACTGCCATAGAATTTCTCTTTTAATGAGTTTTATTGAATTAGAATGTCTTTCCCCAAGCTTTTACAAGGATATCTGACTTTTCTATTCTTTCTCTGAAACAGAAGGGGGCTTACCTGTCCCAGACATCCAGTGGGTCATCTCCAGAGTAAAATCGGATTTCTGACTCAAACTCCCTAGAAAAGAAAATCATCCATCCAATAAATACACGTGTACAAATGTAAGGGACTTTTCTACATTGTAAACCAAGAGCTTCACTCTCACTTGTACCATTTTGTAGGTCTATTAAGAAAGTGCTAGGTTTGCATATATTTCAGAATCAAAAAAAAAAGTTTGTGTGCTCTTCTCCAAACTGAAAGAGCTCAGAAACACATCATTATTTAACAAGAAGAGATCTGCATCTTTCCAAAGGATATTTCCAAGAACTATGACCCCCATGGCTTATATGGTCTCCCTTGACAGAATGTTTGCTCTGTTATGAGTTGTTACAATCAGGTGGATATTGCAGAGTTCCATTTTTGCATGAAGTGCCCCTGATTGAAGCAAAGGCAGATGCTGGAATTCACACAGAGGATGATGGAAAAGACAGAACAGGCAGCAGCAGAACTGCACAAGAGAGCACAGTGAGGACACACCCAAGTGGCCACAGTGACAGTCATCACCTTGTCTCATTCTTCAACTCCTGTGCATCATTCTGTCCCTCCAACGTGGTGACTTCACCCTCAGGCAGCACATCAAGAACCAAACCACCCTGCAGCTTGTGTTAGACAAGAACATCCCTTTGTGTCTAGCAGTGCCTCTGACGTGATCCTGCAGAGATCCCCAGGCAGCCCCTGGTTCTTGGAAGGCTCTGCTCCACCCTAACACCTCACTAACATCATGACCCAAGTCATACAAGCCCTCCTGCAGAGCCCAGTACAGTAACAAATCCATGGAATCCCATGACAAAAATCCAGATGCAGCTGCCAAGCTCTGGTTCAGCGAGTACTGGGCAGGTGTTCACAGACCCTGCTGCCTTCCCATGGAATCCCCTAGATTCCAGCAAACACCAGTGCTTCCCAGTTCTGACAACAGCAGACACAACGTGCAGCCTCTTCACGAAGTCAGCTTGGCCTTCACAGGGCAGGCAGAGTTGAGGGTCAGACAAAAATATGACTGAACTGGGCTGGGGCACAGGATGCCCCTCAAAGTCACCACCCCATCTGTGGAACAGTGTATGCAAGACAGACCCAACCCAAAGTGATTTTGTCCCCTTGGATGGTCCACCCTTTGCAATGCAGAGAAGACAGACAGAGATAGCTGGATTGTGCCTACATTAGGAAGCATTTCTCTCCTAATGAATACCCTGCTTCAATAGATTATTGCAGGAAAGACAAAAAACCCTCTCCTCTTTGTAATCTATATCTGTTTTGCTTAATGAGTATGTTTAAAATAACAGAATTTCCTTTGTATTTGCTGTTTAAATGCTCCCATGCAAAGCTAAAAATAGCATCTGTACCATACAGCACCCTCAGCAACTAGCCCTAAACACCTGGAGTGGGTGGAGTCACTAAACTTCTGTTCTTTTCTGCCTTTTTTAATGCTTGTGACATCAGTACAGTGAAATAAGACACAGAAAAAAATGATGAGGAAGCAGGAATATCAGGGGAAAGAAGGTGTCAAAAGATTGCTCACTGTTTTTTGAGCTGGACAGCCGTGTGGCTGGAGGTCTCCTGCTGAGCCAGCGCTTCCTGCAGGGTGGACATGACTCGCCCCTGCCGAAGGGGCTGCACGTTCTCTTTGCTCAGCTCCCACTCATCGTTGCAGTCCTGTGACATGACAGCCTCTTCTCCGACTCCTGCCTCAACAACAAAAACAATCAGGAATTGATTCGTTAGGTAGGATGCTAACCTGAAACCTGAGAGATCTGGCTTTCCTCATTTTGCACAAAAAGAGATTTAGACTAGAAAGAAGTAAGAAATTTTGTACACTGAGGGTGGCAAGACTGTGGCCTAAGCTTCTCAGAGAGGTGGTCGCTGCCCCATCCCTGGCACCATCCCAGGTGAGGTTGGCCGGGGCTCTGAACAACCTTTTGTAGTCGCAGATGTCCCTGCCTCCTACAGGGGGGTTGCACCAGATGACTTTCAAAGGCTGTTTCCCGCCGAAACCATTCTATGATATTACGATTTATCAGTCGATCCACCACACACTTTCTGGGTGCCCACAAGCACACCGCTAGGTCCCCATCTTTTAGAGGTAACTGGGCATTCAACTCCCCTCCATGGAACTATATGGAGCAAGAGCTGAGCAGTTCTTGGCAGTCAGGAGTCTCAGGCAGGTGACGTTAGCAGGACAGGCTCCTCAGATTCAGCCATTTCCCTCCCCCCTGCGTGCTCCCTTCCCTGCCCCG